AACTAACACGAACTTAAGCAAATTGGGATACTTGATGGAATTAGTATTATATAATGTTACAATATGTGGGGATAGATGGCGAAATAAAGTAATACGCAGATAGTTAGTATTGATCCTGAAAAGACTCCACAGCATTCTAGAATATTCGCGAACTATTAGTGTTGCAATATTATATTAATATTTACTGCATTTGTTTTAGATAAAAAAAATAGGACGCAGTGGAAGAATTTATCATCGCCATTTTGATTTAATACAAATATAATTTAATTTACTTTTGAAAGTTTGCATAAAGTTTCGAAATTGCGCCTATAAATCAAAAGTGTTTGAATTTATCATCACCATTTTGATTTAAAACTAACTAATTAACACGAACTTAAGCAAATTGGGATACTTGATGGAATTAGTATTATATAATGTTACAATATGTGGGGATAGATGGCGAAACAAAGTAATACGCAGAGATTTAGTATTGATCCTGAAAAGACTGCACAGCATTCTAGAATATTCGCGAACTATTAGTGTCGCAATATTTTATTAATATTTACTGCATTTGTTTTAGATAAAAAAAAATTGGACGCAGTGGAAGAATTTATCATCGCCATTATGATTTAAAACAAATATAATTTAATTTACTTTTGAAAGTTTGCATAAAGTTTCAAAATTGCGCCTATAAATCAAAAGTGATTTAAAACTAACTAACTAACACGAACTTAAGCAAATTCGGATACTTGACGGAATTAGTATTACATAATGTTTCATATATGTGGGATAGATGGCGAAACAAAGTAATACGCAGATAGTTAGTATTGATCCTGAAAAGACTGCACAGCATTCTAGAATATTCGCGAACTATTAGTGTCGCAATATTATATTAATATTTACTGCATTTGTTTTAGATAAAAAAAAAATAGGAGGCAGTGGAAGAATTTATCATCGCCATTATGATTTAAAACAAATATAATTTAATTTACTTTTGAAAGTTTGCATAAAGTTTCGAAATTGCGCCTATAAATCAAAAGTGTTTGATTTTATCATCACCATAATGATTTAAAACTAACTAACTAACACAAACTTAAGCAAATTCGGATACTTGATGGAATTAGTATTACATAATGTTACATATATGTGGGGATAGATGGCGAAACAAAGTAATACGCAGACAGTATTGATCCTGAAAAGACTCCACGGCATTCTAGAATATTCGCGAACTATTAGTGTCGCAATATTTTATTAATATTTACAGCATTTGTTTTATATATAAAAAAAATAGGACGCAGTGGAAGACACCGCCAAAGCTTTCTAGTTATTGTCGGAAACTCTAATAATAAATCACCTTGAACGAACAAACATCATTTGTTTTCAATGAAATTTCACTTTACGTTATATAATTTTATATAACGTAACAAATACAAGATCAGTTCTATTATTTTAATTTTGTTTTTGAACATTTCGTTCGCATTTTAGCGCAGAAAGACAATGCGTTTCTTGTAAAATTCAAATTAAGTAAATTAAGTTGCCTATTTATTTGTTTCTATAATTAATACTTAAGTCGCTTTTAGTAGGCGGATAAAGAAGGGGGTTGAAGAAAAGAATTCGATTGGTTTCTATTTATAATTCATTTATTTGTAATAAATTAAAATCCATTTTTGGTAAGTATTAGTAAATGTACAGAAAGTAAAAATTTGTTCTAGCGTTACAAGTTGAGACAGAAGCGAAATTCAAGTTTGAACATAATAAAACGGAAGAATTGTTACACAATGTTAAGTAAATAAAAGAAAATGATGATGATGATAATAATAGAAATAGTGCATGTCTATCCATCATGACACTGAGATAGAAATGCGAAAACAAAATAAATAACTCTATCATTAAACAATAATAATATATTAATTGTAATACTTTAGCTTGTACAAAAATACACACACACACACGCTCGCACTGTCCTCCTCTTGCTCGCTCGCTCGCTCGCTATGTTTAGTCTATTCGATGATCGTGCTAAGAGCTTTCAAGATTAATCGGTAGCTAGATTGTATATGGACTGCGTTTCGAGTGCGTCGCTGGATAGCAGCAGTTGATTGTTCAACTGCTGATCTGCGCTGGCACAATTATGACTGAACGGGTAAAAACTATTGACTCTCCGCAGGATCTGCAGCTTCTCCTCTTTGGTTTTGTTTATGGCGCCGTTGAAGTTGCTCGTGGCGAGTTTGTGTCGCAGCAGCTCCAGCTCCTCGGACAGGAAACGATTGCAGATGTCGATCTGCGGTCTGCCGCCGTTCCTGATCTCCAGGTCCGGGATCCATCTGAAGTAGCACTGCCGCCATACGTCCAAGCAGGAGATCCCGGTGCTCGGGATCAACCTCTCCTTGTTGCTCCTCTCGTACAGAGGATTGTCGAAGAGAGTGATGTCGCTCTCCGAGAACTGCTCGCTCCAGTTCCACACGCTCCTCAGCGTCGACTGCTTGCCCTGAAAACAACGACGATCAACACCCGGATCGAAGATGATTACGGATAAAACTTACAGCCAGGAATCGGCTGTGCTCGGAGTTGAACAGGAACGTCTCGAATATCGTTATATGCGACGAGTCCCAGATGGTCGTCAGGTAAGTCTCGCTGAACTGGAAGGCTGTCGGAAATTGCTGCAGCATCTGCCACACGCAATCAAGGAACAGCAGGAATAAAAACGAAGGCTCGATGTCCGGATCTAAGATGTGCCCCAAACGGAAAGCGAACGGATGACCGAGCGCCACCCACTCCTTCTGGATCAGCGACTGAAAGCCCTTCCTTGTCCGCCAGTGATGGTCCAACAGCAACTGGATCAGACTCGACACCACGCAATTCATATCTTCTCCTTTATCTAAAATTTAAAAGACCAATTAATATCAAACACTCACTCACTCTTGTATCAAATCAAATCAAATCTAACCTTCTTGCAATATGACTGTGGTCGTATCATCTACGAGTACCTTAGCGCATTCAACGGCTTTGCTAAGGCACATCGAAATGTGGTGCAGCCACTTCGACTGGTCCAGCAAACCGTAGAACTTGAAATCCTGCGCCTTGTACACTCGCACGCTGTCCGGAGTGCAGAGGTTCTTCAGTTTGCTGTAGCTGCTCTGCACTTCCTTGGGCGTCGGACAATCTCGACTCAAATCGACGATGATCGGCTGCGTCCTCGGATGCGACTTGTGCACCTGTGTTATAAGGATGTTCTCCTGTACGCGATCTGTGAGTGATGGCAGAAGATCGGGCATTCTCACAAGGGCCGCATGCTCGGTGCCCCAAACCTACAAATCAAATGTGTGAAAGAGATCGGAATCGTGAGGAAACGCACGCACCCAAACGGGAAATCCTTCGTTCCGGAAGTCCCTAGCCGCTGTAGATATTTGCGAGTTAGTTATGGTCTCTGGCACGACCAAATACTCGGGCATGTGTAGCGTCACCGAAAAGTTCTTGTTCACGTCGGAAATCCGCCACTTCTTCGCTTTGCATCGCGTCAAGTCTTTCCTCCAATCCTCCGCCGTCACGTAAAGCCTAGCCTCCTTAGTAATTGGCTTATTATAAGGTTCCCTTAAATTAAAACATACATCTTAAGCATTCTCAATTTACAAGACTAAACAACAAACTCACTTGATATCATACATAAAGAGTAGAGGATGTCTCTTGGGATAGGCATGATGTAACAACCCGTTAGCAATCTGCCGTCCGTTGTCTTTATCGGCGTCCTTAAAGCCGAAAGACAGAACCCTCATGTTCTGAAATAAATCGCAAATGTAAAATACCAACGAATCCCATCTAAATCGCTTAAAAAACTCACTTTACAGACAATAAACAACTCCTTGACTTTATTGGAGACACTTTGCCCAGGCACCAACTTTTTCTTGGACTTATCCCCAATCTGATAAATCGTGTCAATTGCGGACAAGCAAATCTCGTTGCGTCTCAGCAGATTATTGCTCTGATAGAACTCCATGCCTTCCTCCTCGCTTTCATTCGATGCAAACGAAAGTTTGAATGTGGTCATCGTTAGCACCCCAAGAGTCCCCTTCTTCTTATCGGACAGGGGTGCAAACATCCTGACCTTTTGCGCCTCAAGCACGACAGTCTCACCTGAAAAAAATCGCTTAGTAATTTAGAGAACAAAACAAATTAATCATCACTCACCTTCAAGTAGGCGTGTTTTCTGCCCATCATTCAGAGAAACGTTCTGTAAACGAAACAATAAGTATATAATTGACAGTGAGATATTAGAAAATAAAGTACCTCCAGCTCGGTGTCCTCTATGTAGCTCTTGAAAGTGGAATCATTGGAATTCATCGCAGGGTGTGTTGTTGCTGTGTGTGTGCTATATATTGTATATCTTACAGTTCAGGCAATCCCCTCTCGAAATTATATTATCCCATAATTGTAGAAACACCAGAGTTAAAGTTCTTGCGCTAATGTTCTAATTGTTATGCCAAATAGCACTGACTAATAATTCAATATATACACGTAAATTGGAGGTTATGTTTGACAGCTGACATTTGCTTACAAATATTTTGCGGTTGTCAATGTGAAGGCGGAACGGAGATCTGCGGTTGTTTTTCCAAAAAATTAATGCAAAGAACTATTGATTATAAATGAAGTATTTCGAAAAATTATCTCCGCTTTCGATCGTCTTGTCCCGTACGTATTGCTCTAATTGCCACTGAATTGATGTACGTTAATTGTCTTATCGTCTCTAGAATAATGAACGAATATCGCGAAATGCATCATTATCAGTGGAGAGCAATAATCTAGAATCATCATTTTCATAAGAGCCGCGTCACAGAATGGGTGATTTGTCCACGAAGGTGGCCCTGACGGTAAAACGTTACGGCATAAAAGTTAGGTTAGTAGAGTCTAATGTACCAGATTTTGTCTAATAAGATTTAAACGAAAATTATCCTTTAGGCCAAATGCTTCTACAGGTCTGTGGGTATTTCCACTTGTACCTTTGGCAGTCATCGTCTCAGCCCTGAGACATCCAAATGAGGTATCTGTGATCTACCAGTATGCAGCTCTATTATGCATTGGCTTGCTGCAGACGTCCTTGTTGTTCGTGCTGCATTGCTCTCGTAAGGGACAACCTGACGGCAGCCACCTTATGTTACCCACTGCCATTACAACAGTAGCTTTCTACTCGTATTTCAAAACAGGTTCGAAATTAACAACTTAATTATTCATAAATTATAATTGTAACAATTCGCAGGATTCGTGTTTAGCATCTGCAGTGGACTGTTCTCCAGTTTCGGCTACTACAAATTACTGCTGTTCACACTGAAGGTGTTACCATGCAGTTTCACAATTGGCGAAGCTTCTATAGTTGTGCAGGCAGCAATTCTATTCTTCTACACGACAGTTCTGAATGTCATTAACAGTATTGCTCAGGTCACTTTCACCAAAATGCAAACATCGACTTTGATCATTCAGGTAATTAATATAATCTCATTAGTTTTTTTGGAATATTTAAATATAATTTAAATTCAATCGATGTAGGCAACTCAAACTACGCGCGTGTTGTTGATTTAAGTATGAAAAAAATAATTTAATTGTAATTTTCCAGCTCGGCGTTTTAACGGTGGCTCTTATATGTTGGCTCTGCTACAGATTCAAATCTCTGCGAAAGCCAATACCTTTCTACATGATGGCCGTGTTCTCTTGCGTTTTCTTCCTGTTCGTTCCGTTGCATTTAATATTAAACTTCAGTCCGATCCTGTGGATTCTTCAGCTGATGATCAACGATGCGCGAGCTGTGAGTTCTCTTTTTTTTTTCTTTGTTTGCAGGAGAATTTCAATTATGACTATGAAATGTTTCAGATGAGAGTCGTCTCGATCTGGATCTTCGGTTCGCTGCTCGCGTTCCTTGTCGCTCGAAGCCAGATGCGCGGTGCGAAGAAAGCCACGACCATCCAGAGGAAAGCCTTCCACATACTGGCCGTGCTCATGTTCACGCCGGGTCTGGTGATGGAGTGCTCGCTCACGTTCATCGCGAGCGCCGTCATACTGAGCATCTTCATCGTCTTCGACGTACGTAATATTCAAGGGGGGGAACCGAACCGTTGGAGGTTTTTTGCTCATTTCGATTGCAGGTGATGCGAGTTTTGTGTTTGCCACCGTTCGGACAAGCGTTTCAGGACACCTTCGTGGTGTACGGTGATGATAAAGATGTGGGAATCACCGCGCTGACGGCCCTCTACTTGCCGGTGGCTTGCGGTATTCCCATGTTCGTACATCCATCTCCGTGCGATATTACCGATTCCGCTGGATTCTATTTGCTGCCTGTGATGAGCGGTCTTCTGTCCATCGGTATCGGAGATTCCGCTGCGAGCGCTGTCGGGAGCAAGTGCGGAAGATTCCATTGGAAACGTATGTTTGTACTTTTTTCAGTTAATTCGCGTGTAACGGTTTGATTTAAGATTCCAAAAAGACCGTCGAGGGAACTTTGGCTTCCATTATCAGTCAGGCGTTGATAGTCTACTGTCTCTTCTATTATGGTAAATGCAATTACCAAGATGATGTTGTTGTTTCCTTCTAATTTATCTTTTGGTTTCAGGTTTCGTCAGTGGAGAGGAGACTTTGATCAGGAGCGGAATTGCCATCGTTGTTACGTCTTTGATGGAAGCCAAAACGACTCAAATTGATAATTTGGTTTTGCCATTACTCATGTACATTCTGCTTGTTTAAGCCTTTTTTTTCTTATTTATACTGCATCCTTACACAAGATTTCTTATTAAAAACAAGAACAAAACATTCAATTCGTCTCGAAATTTATCGTTCGCTTTCGATATGAACTTCTGTATCCTGTTCCACGTAATAATTATCTGATATTTTTTTTTGATGAAAACTAAAGTAAATAGATACGATTAGTAATATCAAGTGGATATGGAATCAATTTGGGATTGGCAGAACTGAAAAGTCGCGCACTTAAAAATAGTATCGCGCCAAATTTACTGAACTCCAATTGTCTCGTCCTTGACATCGGCGCTTCTCCGTACAGTATATTTCCTACGCACACTACATACACACACACAATATATATATATATAGAAGACTGCGGTTGATTGACTATAGAGCTTCATTTCGTTTTATTTTGCCGCAGAAGCGAGAACGAGGCAAGAAATGTTGCGAGCGCTACGTTCATTCAGCAAACTGCAGAAATGCTGTTACTCTGCACAGGCGAAGGCTGCGCCCCAATCCAACCCTGAAATCCTGTATTCCGGGGTAAGTAATAATCCTGCAAAAACATATTAAGTCTCATCCACGTTCCAGAAGAAAGTTTTGACGATTACCTAACTCTGATTAAACTAACAATGCATAATATTTGTTTATAGTTCTATAATGTATGAGTTTACGAGAAAACGTGCAAAAAAAACTATGGTTCAGTGACCTTCAAATCAACAGTTTGACCGGTTTCGGCAACGCTCATATTTACATAGTAAATGTGTAAATTTCTATATGCATAATTTTTGAGCTAAAACTCAAAATTTGATCAATAAATTAATTATTTCTAGATATATATAATTTAATCCCAAGGATAACGGATAAATTACTTGACAGATGTCCTTATTTAAATATGACATGAGCCTACTTGAAATGCATTTACCTGCCATAATCGTTATTGCGAAGGATAAAACAAGTTGTATGTTGACTTAAATCTGACATAAGCTTACTTTAATTGCAAAAGGATTCGCGTTATTTGTATGGACGAAAACGGAAAATATATGTTGACTGTTTGCATTTCCCGATTCAAGCGAGTTTGAAATGGAAGTTACACGTATTTGGCCGCATGCCATATTAGGATTTATAAATAAATCTCTTCCGTAGAGAAATCTTTACTTTTATTTTTAAAAAGAAAAAAAAAACAACATTGTTCAGTTTTCTAATATATGCACGTACATGTGTGTTATCGAAACCGTTTGTGATTGTGCAATTGCGCTTTGTTATCGAATGGATAATTTAGCTTAATCGGCGCTCATTAAGTAAGATAGCAGTCGAAGGAAAACAAGATAATCTAAGTATAAATTTCCTTTAACTACGCTGCAACAGTCGGTTATTTTCTAAAGAAATATATCATTAATAAACGTATCGTGGTGAAAAACCATTGCTTCTGTGCTATTTCCACGTTATCGTTCTCATCCGTTACAATATCTTATCGTCGCATGAGGCACGAACATGCTTCCAACAAGTGGTATGCAAACAATACGCTCAATTGACGTTTACTCATTTTTGTTATGTTATTTCAGGTATTGCATAAGAAATAAATCTTCACGTCCAATTGCTAAATCTAGTAATTGTTCTCACAACAAACACAATGTGCTTTGACCTTTGACATCCTTGGAAATTTCCATTTAGTTTACTCAAATTTTAGTTGTATGAAACACGTTTTTTTGATGCAGTTGTCGTTGATTGATTTACATTTTATTTTTAATTACATAGAGTAATTGTAAATAAATTGTTTAAAATAATTATAGTTTGTTTATGCGTGGAATATATAAATTACAGCTATTATACAGCGTCAGAATACGCTTGGGAAAAACAAACTGATAATTTTTAACATTGTTTACTTGGGTTTGTTATTTGGTAGTATGTTTATAACGGTTTCTTTTTATTGGTTTTAGATTTTCATAAACAATGAGTGGCACAAATCAAAGTCGGGACGTACCTTCGAGACGGTCAATCCGTCGACCGGAGAGGTCATCACCGAGGTGCAGAGGGCCGGAGTAGAAGATGTCGAGTTGGCGGTGAACGCCGCGCACAGCGCCTTCAAGCTGGGTTCACCGTGGAGGACGATGGACGCCTCCGAACGTGGTCGCATCCTCTTCAAGTTGGCTGATGCCATGGAACGCGATGCCGCCTACATTGCTGTAATTTAACTTCATTTCATTCAATTGCGTTATTTAAATATTTTTATTTTAGAGTTTGGAGACTTTGGATAACGGCAAGCCTTTCAGCATGGCTTACAATGTGGATGTAGCGTACGGTATCAAGTGCTTGCGCTACATGGCCGGTTACGCGGACAAGGATCACGGCAAGACCATCCCCGTCGACGGAAAGTACTTCGCGTACACTCGCCACGAACCCGTCGGTGTCTGCGGACAGATCATCCCGTGGAACTTCCCGCTTCTGATGTTCATCTGGAAGATCGCACCAGCTCTTGCGATGGGCAACACCGTCGTCCTGAAACCGGCCGAGCAGACGCCACTGTCCGCCCTCTACGTCTCTCAACTGGCAAAGGAAGCCGGTCTTCCACCTGGCGTTCTCAACATCGTCCCCGGTTACGGAGATGCCGGCGAAGCTCTCGTCAAGAATCAAAAGGTGGATAAGATTGCGTTCACCGGATCTACCCAAGTGGGCAAGTTGATCCAGCAGATGTCCGGTGTCGGCAATCTGAAGCGCACAACTCTGGAGTTGGGAGGAAAGAGTCCCAACATTATTTTGGCTGACGTGAACATGGATACTGCGGTGGAGGCAGCCCATCAGGGCATCTTCTTCAATCAAGGACAGGTGTGCTGCGCCGGTAGCCGCACCTTCGTCGAGGAGAAGATCTACGACGAGTTCGTGGAGCGCTCGGTGGAGAGGGCGAAGAAACGCACCGTCGGCAATCCGTTCGACGCCAATACCGAACAGGGTCCTCAGATCGACGGCACCCAACTGAACAAAATCCTCGAGCTCATCCAGAGCGGCGTCAAGGACGGAGCTTCCCTCTTGACCGGAGGACAAAGATTCGGAGACAAGGGATTCTTTGTGGAGCCAACTGTAATGGCCAACGTGCAGGACAATCACCTGATCGCCAGAGAGGAAATCTTCGGGCCCGTCCAGCAGCTGTTCAAGTTCAAGAATCTTGACGATATCATCGAGAGAGCAAACGACACCAATTACGGATTGGCAGCGGCCGTCTTCTCCAAGGATATGGACAAGGTCAACTACCTGGTGCAGGGAATCAAAGCGGGAACCGTTTGGGTGAACTGCTACAACGTGTTCGGCGCGAACGTGCCCTTCGGCGGATTCAAGGACTCCGGACACGGCAGGGAAATGAGCGAGTACGGCCTGAAGCAGTACACCGAAGTCAAGGCTGTCGTCGTAGCCATTCCCGAGAAGAATTCATAAATACAAAAAAATAACGTTTGGTTTTGTTCTGTTCTTTCTCTTATTTTTATATTAAAAATATTTATATTATATTAAATGTAATATCACTATAAAATGAAATGAAAAATGAAAAATTTAAAACATATTATTTCCTCCAGTACTGAGCGAATTTATGCAATTGCTCGACAACGACGGCCACGACCGCCGTCACCGACAGTTCCAGCAGGTTCTGCAGATATCTCACAGCCTCCTCATCTCCAAGATCCAAACGCAACTTGTCCTGGACCTTTCGCACAGCCTTGTCCGGTTCTAGGGCAATATCGGGAACGCTCGCATCGACCATCAATGAAAACAGATTTAGCATCAAATTTGCGTGTCTGAAAACGATTTTCATATAGTTATTTATTTCAGTTGCGAAATTAAGCGCTCTGTCTTACCTTCTCAGATGCAGGAAAGCGGTGTAGCATTGCTTCTTGAACTCCTGATAATGATCCGAGTTAATTCCACCCATGCCTTCGACCATCTCCCTACTCAACTTCATCGGCGGCGGCAGCGGTTTCGGATCGCGTCCCAGAATGTAACCGAAATCGATGTGGAACAGTTTTCCACTGGTCGTCAGGAGAAGATTGTCCAAATGGCGATCTCCTACACCCAACAGATAGGTGATCACGCAGTAGCCGGCGCACGACCGCACATACGTGTCCATGATCTCGGGAGCGATACCGTAGGGGCCGGTCTCCGATGGATGATGCTTCCTGAAGAAGTTCAGAATACTGCCCTCGTTGGCCAGAACTTCGGCCACCGTTATCGAGTCGATGAACTGCACGAATCCGTGCTTTGTGCTCATGGCCAACACTCTGTACGGCGTCAACTTCAAATCCAAATTCTCCCGCCTCAGCAGCTTATCCATCAGCGTGATCATTTGCAGAATGAGCTGGTCCTGTCGCAAATCATCTCCGTGCTTGAATATCGCTACGTACTCGGAATCATTTGTGGTAATAAAGTGCAGCTTAGAGGGCATCAGCGCCGATTTGAAAAGGCTCGCTTTGCTTGGTATTATCCCCTTGATCTGTACGCTTGGATCGAGCGGGAAGGGCATTGGATCGAATTTGATGAAATTGAACTTGGAGTCGGTGCTGGCTAACAGTTGCTGCAGCTTCTCAGATTTTTTCTTGCGATTTCCACTCTCGCTCGAAACGGTCTTCACTAACTTCACCAACTTATCGATGAACTTTTGTTGTCGCGACAGCGCCAAACGACGCTGCTGCATGTCCGAGTTTCCCTTGCTCAACGTCTTTGAAAATATTTTCATTACAGTTAAGTACATGTCTCTCACCACCATCTGAAATTGTAACACAATGTTAATAATAATAATAACATTCACATGTTTGGATTTCAACTTTTACGTCTTGTTTTATTTTGTGCTCTTGATCCTCGCATTCGATTATCAGATACCAATAGAAGTAATTGGCGAGTGCGGAATTCTTGCACGCCCGTCGGATGAGGAACGAGGCCAGATCTTGTGCGTCCTCCTCATCCTTCAGATCGCTCTGCAGCGTATCGGTATTCCCTGAATCAGTATTCATATTCTGCAAGAGATTTTCGGGCAGAGTTACGGCCCTCTGCATGCTGTCCACTTCGATGACGCTGTTCACGTTGGATGCGGCTATTTGATCTGCTTGATGATAGCTCGCCGATCTGTTCATATTGATCTGTTCGCTCGTAATCGTTGCGTTGCTTTCCTTGTTGTCTCGTTTCTCCAGATACTCCTTTTCGTCGCCATCCCCAGAGTTTATTGAATCTCTGCCCGGAGACAAACGTTTGTAAGCTGAAATACACACTATTGATTGATCGAGTCCAAATATAATACTGTCATTTACTCACCGGCTTTAATTATATCGAAATTTTCGTACTTGAGTGCTTGTACCAATTGCAATAAGTAAAGCATTAAGTCTTCGTCTGGAGCCTGCTGTAATCGAGATATTGCGTACATCCTTACTTCGGGATGCTGGAAATTGGGGCTGAGCAGTTCCAAGGCGTCCTCCACGTCCATGGGTGCCCAGTGCGTAAGCATGGACAGTGCCTGCCGCACTTCGCCCGACTGGTTCCAGTTCACACACTTCAGGAACTTTGTTAGCGCTTTCTTTTGGTTGCTCAGGTAGAACCGGAACTTCCAAACGTAGTCCTGTTCCTCGTTGGAGAGCTGCTTCGTGGGCGGATACGAGACTATCGTGTTCAGCATGTCCCGAACCTGGGCGTTCGGTTTGGCGTCTTTGTCAGAGATACCGCTGCGCAGCGATCTGGCCAATTTGTGGTGCTTGCTTTCCACCAAGTTCTCCTGCGAGGGCAACGGAAAGAAACCACTTTACAATCGGATCCAAGCACATGTCGATGGCGAATGCGGTCGCCACCCAACACGGCACGCAACAGCTTTAAACTGGATTAGGATTAGAAACCCTAAACGACTTACTTTCAGTATTTCCTGATCCGGAACGGTTACGATATCCGGCTGAGCGCGAAACTGATACACCTCGTCCCCGTCCTGTTCGAAGTATACTATATTATGGGGTATATTATCTACGGTGACCTCGGGGAACTCGACCATCAAGTACATATAGTCGGAGGAGCGCTTTTCCGCTTCGTGCACCAATTCTAGCTCTCTAAACGCCAACCGATCGAGCCAATCAACCTGTACAATACACGGAAATAAGTATTACATTCACAAATCTTAACGAATTTACACAACAAAAACTCACCTTCGTCATGTGCCCGTTTCTATGCTTCTTCGCCAGTTTGCTCAAACGTTGCATCTGCTCTTTGCCACAGTCCTTGGCCTTTCCAGGTGTGCTCGTTGGATAATTTCCATCAGCAACTTTGTTAGGCCACACTCTCAAATCCTGTATACCCTGTTTATTTATTATATTATTAATTAGTAATTGGCATATAGAACAACTTAATAATTTACCTGTCTGAAAACACCATATTTACTAAATAACGTAATTGTTGTACCTCCCACTGGTATTTTCTTGTTCACGCCACCGCAATCATAAATAGTCATAGCTAGTTGAGCAGTTCTAGGTAAATTCTTGAATTGAATAGCCAGAGTGATCCATTCGTTCCAACTAATCAAAGAACATAGATTTAATTTAAATTAAATACACATCAAATATATAATATGAAATAACATACTTGTATCGATTGGAGAATGCTTTGTACGAGGTAGTGATGGGCAATGTGAGGGGCTCATTCTGGTCAAACACCTGACACTCAACCATCAGATCAGCAAATTCAGACTGATACAGCCCGGAGAACTTGAGCATAGGATCCGCCAACATCTTATCATATTCAGGCTTATGTTTTTTACCTTCAAGAGTTCCTCTACAATTTAACAAAAAAGACACAATCAAATAACGACGACCATTGTAGATGCGAATTTAAGAAAACTTACATTTTAATTTGCAGACGACTGTCCAACGACGAACTATACACATAGTAAAACTTGTCGCTCGTTTCTTCCATTGCACAACGTTATTAAGTAGCAAACAATTTTCAAATAAATACCTGAGACCAATTTAACCTTCTGTGCTTCTATGCAATTCCACGACTGACTGACATTGTTAGTTGCTGATGCACATGGAAATAAACTATCATATGTTTAGTTGCCATCTTATTTTGGTTTTGGTGGCCTCTCATTGGTCGAAGCCTCTAGCGGACAAAACCATTCAATTTAACCAATCAGAAAACTTGAAATCTTTTAAAATACCAGGAGATCTCAACTTTAATTGAATCGTGCATTTTATCACACGTTTGACGTACGTTGAATCAATAATAATAAAATTAAATGTATAGGTATATTGTTAAATAAATTGAAGAAATTGTCGTGAAATATAGTTTAACTTTTTGATAACATCCATTGAAAGACAAGACATTTTGGAAGCACTGGTTTACGTCCTGTTATCAGCCATTTAAATGTGACATTTCATCGATTTTGTGTTTTTGTTGCAATTGGAACTGCGCAAGTTTCCTTTAAAATATATCATATGCAATGGTGCAATATTGCTAATCTGAGGTAAACAAGCGTAATTTTCGTGTAATTATTAGGATTCACGTAGTTGTGTGCGTGCAGGAACAATGTTGTATATTGCCTAACAACCTAAAAAAAGCAGTGAACGTAAATATAATCAATCCTGACAATACAGATCACGTCAAAGTAAAACAAAATTTACGTGTGTTCTTTTTTTTTTTTTAGGATTTCCGTCTGTGTTTGCGCGTGGGATAAGGGTGGAGTTTGCGTGGAGTCGTTGAAATTATCATCTGGCTATTATTCAATCGGTGATGATGGGTTTGTTCAGTTAAAATTTGTTGAGAATGGAGGGTTCAATGAATTTGGACGATGGATTGGAATGGGCTGCTCACACCAACAACACTTGGTCAACCAAGGATCTGGACAGCCTAGCCTTGAGGGATGTTGTGCAGACACTGTACGAGAGCTTGCTGGCAAACAAGGAGATCAAACCATTGCCAGAGCAAGTGTCCACGTACAATGACATCCACATCCTACCGGACTTCCAATATGATTTACCACCATCGTCCGAGTTGGAGCAGTACGTGAACTCGATGCTGACCAGCCAATTTGATTTAGCTAAGAATGTGTGTTCATCCACACCGTTTGCCATCATCCTGAAGCAAAGACTGATCATTCTGAAGAGAATTTACCATGCGTTAATTGCAAAATATAATGACAAGGAAATGCAGACCAGCTACATAACATTAGAATCTTCACATAATGTTAGATCTGACTCGGATCCCTTGAATGGATCACAAGCGTTGCTGGAGATTGGAGTGCATTCAGGTTTAACATTTCTCTTTGCCTTGCTGAAGCAGAACTGGTTGGACAGTTCCACACTTGGCAAGACGCCCTTGTGCAATCCAGTCCTGCAGACAGCTAATGATATTATAGACTGTTTTCCACCGCTCTCATTATCAAATGATAATCAGTTAACTGATTTGGGTGTCAGTTGTTTGGGAAAGGTCTCACAATTTCTCAAGGAAGTTGTGCTTGACACTGTAGAAGCTGATTATAATGGGAAAGCTTTGGCATCAGAGCTGCTTCTAAGTATATCACTGCAGAGAGGCTCACTGAGATTCATGCTGGACTGGATTGCAATGGGTTTTGATGCCTCTGCAAATGGTTACAATGTGTTGAGCAGCAAGTTCAATATTTCGCTGCTAAAATTGGATAAGGATAAGAAGATAAAGGCAGATGAAAGTGTTGTAGTTGGATTATATGAGAGTGGTTATAAGATGATTGAGGATCTAGTGGAGTTGGCCACAGATTACAGTGAATGCTGCGCTACAAATAAGACTAGGGCGCAATTGGAGGAAGAGAATGTTTCTGACTGTTATGTCTGGGGAAGCAACTCTACGTATCAGCTAGCTGAGCATCAGGAGCACCACGAGAGGATAACCACACCAATAAAGTCAAGTGTATTTAAGGATGTGCAGCAGGTAGAAGCTGGTCAGTATTGCACTTTTATTATCCACAAGGATGGCAAAGTCAGCGCTTGCGGGAAAGGGAGTTACGGTAGATTGGGTCTGGGCGGTTCGACCAATCAAAATATGCCGAAACGTTTGAATCTGATTAGCGTTATTAAGAAGTTGTCCAGCTCGAAAGGTAGCGACGGGCATACCTTGGCTCTGTCTGAAGACGGTCTGGTGTATAGCTGGGGCGACGGGGACTACGGTAAACTTGGCCATGGATCTTCCTCTACGCACAAAGAGCCTAAACTGATCACGGGTCCCTTTCAAGATAAAGTAATCAAAACTATAAACGCGGGTAATGTGTTTTTTTTAATGCATTTTTATTCAACTAATTATTCTAAAAGTTATGTTTTGTTTATGATAGGATATAGACATAGTGCTGCCATCACCGACGATGGATTCCTGTACACTTGGGGTGAAGGAGATCACGGGAGATTGGGTCATGGAGATACGGATGGTCGTGATATTCCAACCCTTGTTAAAGACTTGTCAGATCTTGGGTCCGTGGCCTGCGGATCCGCGCACACTTTGGTCGTCTCCAATGATGGTAAAACGGTGTGGTCGTTCGGTATGGGAGATGGCGGTCGCCTGGGCCATGGGGTTACGTTGAAAGTAATGAAACCGAAAGTGATCGATGCCTTCGATGGTATGATCATCAGCAAGGTCTGCGCCGGAGCTTTATTTTCCATAGCATTAACTATCAATGGAGACGTGAGTAACACCTTTGGAGATAGCCAACTTGTTGCGTTTCTTAATTCTGGTTCTACTCTCAGTTGTATAGTTGGGGAAATGGGCCGGCTCTAGGTCTGGGAACGACAGACATCATGTTCTTGACGCCCACCCTCATTCTGGATCTGTGCTCCTACAAAATAATAGACGTGGCGGCCGGAGACAGCCACTGTCTTGCATTGACCGATAAATACGAGCTGTTCTCCTGGGGCGTGAACGCGTTGGGACAGTGCGGCAATGGGAACATGAACAGTCCCATCACTAAGCCGCAGAAGATCGCCTCCTTGGTAGGTTGCCCGATCCGACAGATCAGCGCCGGAACTTCGCATTCGATCGCTTGGACGACCATCCCGTTGGAAACGCCGCAGGTCGCAAAGCACAAACCGTTCTGCATTGATATTCACGAGAGAACGTTCGAGCTTCTAAATGAGTTTCTGCAAAAGTACACCGGTGCATTCTTCTGCGATTTTCCACCGCCACCCTTCAAAAATCAGGAGGAACACCATAGATTCGTACTGCTCTGCTTGAAGCTGTTCCACACGCATCTGAACTTTTGCATGAAGTGCAACATCGACAAATCCGTTTTGGGAAATAGCGCCGGCAGCCTTCGTAACATTCTATTCCGGTAAAAACTTATAATAAGTAAGTACTCATTTTTCAATACTAATTTCGTTGGGTCCAAGTTTGATTGATACGGTCACGCCACCGGAGATAGACTCCAAGGTACGGGATGTCCTCTACATCGGAGCGACACTTCTTCTGCCGAACTTGAAGGAGCGCATCGAACTGATCAACGAACTGTTGCCGCACGGCGATCAACTTTCGAAAGGACAGCAGATGCTCCTGAAGATCGTCCTGTACAGTTTGGAGGAGTCGCCGCAGATTGCCGCACTCCTGGGATACAGCTTTGCCACAGAAAAATTCGAACAGGACGAGCTGTATTTAACTGAGATCCTGATGAAAACATTGCTGACCACTTTCAAGAAGCACACGGACGATGTGCTGCAGAGCGTCGCGGAGCACGTGAAATCTGACTCGAAGGGCAAATGGTCGGCGCCGCAGAATCAGCGGATCATCCACTTGAGGAAGTTGCTGTCCACGTTGCAGAATCATCTGCTAGCCGATAGCGTGCTCTGCAAATCGTCCAACTTCTATATACTGAGCAATCATTTGATTAATCTCTTCCCGTTAGCCGCTGAGGTTCTGATGAACGCCGCAACTCTCATCGAGAACTATACAAGTAGCTTCGACATGCTGTACAATGTGCTGCTCGACTCTGTCGCTGGTTCGATCTTGCTTAAGGTGCTCAACTCGCTGCTGCTGTTGCCCAGTCATTACATCAAGGATATGCTTCCACGACTGTTGGAACTACTGGATGCGTTGGACAGATTTAATCGACTGCTACCAATCGACGTGCAGAACGACATTGATTTCATGGCTTCGGGTGAGTAGGAATATTTTTTTTCTCATCTTACTCTATTTAAATTCTATATTGTTTCCAATCACATTCATATTCAGAATATTATTATTATCCAATTCCCATGTATATGAACTTTATTTTCAGGTTCAACGACACCGACATTAACGCAACTCACCGATCAGGCATGGGTGTGGCTTGCAGATTTAGAAAAGACATGTTCACTTCTGATTGGTCACTGTATAAGGGGTACTCTTGTCGGGGAGGCTCCAGTCAAACTGGATATATTGACGAGCAAGTGGCTCATGAATCCCATATTCTCGAACGGACTGAGCGACGACAACATAGATCTGAAGTCTGTGCAGGCGATTGTCTATGGATTGATGATGAATCGTGCCGATGAAATGTTTTCAGTGAACTTCCCGCTGAAGCAGTACAAGTTATGCCAGGCGGCGTTGAATCTGCCCACGCAATACGATGAGGCCTGCTCGAACCAGCATAATTTGGAGCACAACAATGATAACGATTTCTATTGTTCGATGATCGAAGCCGCTGGAATTGAGCCGTGGTTTGATGAAGAGGACGCCAATTCCAAGTTTCTTGATACAGTTGTCAGATGTTTCCTGTTTACCTGTTTGCATCATTGCGGACTCTCCGATAGATCTACGAAAGACGAGTCCGTGCAGGAAGTCTACAAGTTCGCCTTGAGCTTAAGGCAGCATATAATAAATGCCATATGTTTGTACGAGAAGGTCGAGAGCTCGGACGAGCAGCAGCAGGCCGAAAATGTGAAGTTCTTTATTTACTATCGTGAACTCTTGAATAGATGCCTCTACATATTGCTATCTGTTAAAGGTATTATCAATAAACGTACTATTTAACTAACTGACATGTACTTGATTTTAGCTTTGGATACGAGTAAAAGTGAACCTGTGAGCTCCGACGAGGAGATCCTCGAAATGCACTACATAGATTCGTATAAGAGTTCCGAAAAGCACGGCGACGTATATTTATCGAAGATCTGTGGGTACCTGCTGAACTTTGTATGCAACGATTCCAGAGACAAGCAGAATTGGACTAAGAAGAACATGGAAATATGGAGCGCGCAGCTGGTAGAGTTGGACGAGGCTCTGAGGAGGCACAAAACTCGAGCGGATGATCGCCTGAAAAGTTTTGAGCAAATCCATCAGCTTATGCAAAAGTCGTTCGCTGATTCTAACGTGACGATGCGTAATCGCGTTCACCAGCAACTGTTGGCCGGATGCTTTGGTCTGTGCAGCATCGGAAACCACAAGAACCTAAACCATTACCTGGAGGATATATACGCGGCGCCGTTCAGAGTACAAGAGAAGATTTTGAAAACAGTTCACAGCATTTACAAGCTGCTTATTACATCTCTAGAAAAGTACTCGGATAACGTGCCCAACAAGCACGTACAGCTGCTGACGGTGTTTGCGCTCAGCACCAAGTTTCAACCGAAAGATCTGATGCACGTCATCAAATGTGGCCTTCTGGGGATCTTGATCAAGATGTTCAATTACTTATCCGTACCGAGTCAGATAGTGAGCAAATCGCAGATGCTGAACGTATCTGCCTTACGTCTGTCGCATATCCTGGCCATGTCATGTTCCATTTACTGCAAGCGATTGGACACAGCCACCGTGGACACCCTCATCGATAAGTTGCTCATGCAGTTCAAGAACATAATCCAGTGGAAACCGAATTTGAACGAGTGCAACAGTCACGAGGTGTACGCGTGGAACAAGGAGAGTTACGATCGTATTCTTGGAGATTTCCTGGTCTTCCTACGAACCATTTCAATGAACAAAACGTTGCAAAGGAGTTTCTCGAAGCGATCGTGGATAGATTCTCTGTTCTGGGTCCTGCAGAATAGTGAAGACGACGTCGATCTGAAACTGAATCTGTACAGTTTGCGGCCGAAACTTTTGGCGCTGCAGATTTTGCAGGCGATCCTTCCGGGAATGCATGTCAAGAAGGAGTCGGATTTTACCGAACGCAAACGCGTCGTTGACCAATTATTCGATCAGCTCTCCTATGAAATGTGGGGAACGCTCAAAAATTTGGAGATCGACAGTGGTTTGAAGGAAACAGACGCTGGCGAAGTGTTGTAAGTTGCGCTTTATCGATTTGTATTCTGATTCACTAACGGCTAGTTTATTGCAGCATAAAGGAGAATCAGCAGGAAGATAATGTTGTGATCGAAGACTTTGGGTTCGATCCGGAGAAATGCAGCAATTGCTACATCGAGTCTAATTTGACTCTTGTGCATGGTCTGGATGGACGCGGCTACGGGTTAGGTTTGAGCGCTATGAAGACTGGTTGTTACCAATGGAGGATACTCATCATCAAGGAAAATAAGGGAAACGAAGGAACGTGCATCGGTGTAGCCCGATACCCGATTAACGACAGCCGCCACCGTAACTCGCAAGACATGTGGCTGTACAGGGCGTACAGTGGCAGTCTCTATCACAACGGCGAATGCGATCTGACTTTGGAGAGTTACACTCAGGGTGATTACATTACCGTCGTTCTGGATATGGACGGGAAAACGCTTAGCTTCGGAAAGAACGGAGAAGAACCCCGATTGGCGTTTGAGAACATCGACGCAATCGAGCTTTACCCGTGCGTCATGTTCTACAGTACGAATCCCGGCGAGAAGGTGAAAATAACCGACATGCAAGTGAACGGTCACCAAAGGGCGTATCTGACAGGCGAACCCAAATTAGCCCCAATGCAGATGGTACTCACAGAATCGATAATAACCGTTATAAGGAAACTGCACAACAGCAACGCTTGGACGGCACTAATTAACGAAGAAATATTGGACAGATTGCGAGACATTGCTGCACTCTTTCCGCCCAGAAAATCTCAAGACGAGACATATTTCTCGTCTCTGAAGTTGGACATCCTCTGCGCCAGGGTGTGGCCTTCGCTTGCCGTGATGGGCGGTGTCGATAGAGGTTTGCGTATGGGTGGAATGTGCAGGTTGAAGTCGACCGGAAAGCGCGGTATTGTCTTGGGTGTGGTCAAAAAGGGTGCTGTCCCTATAAAAGTCCAATGGGAACCGGACGGGGAAATAAGCGACGTCAACATAGTTTCCTCTCTGGATTTCATAGATGCTCCACCCTTCAACATGAATAAATTTAACGGTATAATTCCAATTGTATTCCCGTTGTAATACCATAGTTTAATTTGCCTTTTTATTTTAGGACTTACGGATACCATGATTCGCCAGATAATACGTTTAAGCGGAATCACGGAAGAGATCGAATTACCCAAAGCGCACCTATCAAAACGGGAAAGAGAAATTCTGACCTCCGTCGATTCAGAAGACAGAAAGTCTTGGAACGCGAGGCGCTCCAATTCCGATTCAGAAGTACTGAACGATTCGAACTTGGAGGCGAGCAACGCCAGGACCATGGAATCTCTGACAAATATGATGGTTTCTAGCATCATGGGCGAGGTGAAGCGACTGAACAGCGAGAAAATGCCGTCCTCACAAAGCGATACGACGCTGGAGGACCTGGAGGTGAAGCGGTACAGCGAGGCGAGGAAGCAGGAAGCGAAGGTGTTGCAGGATCGACTGCTGGATGTAGAAATCAATGTTCTAAGATTGACGTCGCTACAGTTCGCATCTCTCAAATGCATATTCGAATTACTCACGTCGGGCAAGTACTCTGAGCTGTTCATGATCAACGATAATCTGCGACTGCAAAACAACGAATCTAAGGAGAATCGTAGACTGAGGGAAGCCATCCGGGAGGTGATGAATGCAGTCGTGGAGAAGAGCGTTGAGCAGTGCAGATTGAAGAACATCGTCAGCGTGGTAGAATTGGAACGGGCTCAGAGTATGCTCTACTCGAACCACGTGAAGTGCAGAATCCACGGGATCTATAAAAATTGGAACGGCGATCGTTATGCTGGGACCGAAACTTCCAAGAACAAACGGAAGGCGGATACTTTTGGAGCGTATCCACCGACTTTTCCCACCTGCACTAGGGGCACCTCTTCCTTGGCATTCAGACCCGTTCGGTATCCTCCGTCGCATTCGCCTTCGAGACTGCAGTTGACCATATCAAGTATATCTCCGAGGCCCTTCTATTCTGAATCGACCACAATTCAAGGTAAGCTTTCAGTTTGAATAATATTAGTATTGCGAGAAAATTAATTGGTTTATCACAGCAGATCTTCCCCCGTCCTTTTTGCCAAACGCATCTGCGAATTCTATAATTTTCGAGAATACTGATTTGGATGATGATATCAGAATGATGCGGACCACGTCGAACACGTCGCCGTTGCATGTTCCGGATATAGCCGAACCGCTTCTGGAGATGGGTTTCCCATTAAGACTTATAATGAAGGCAATCGCGGATACGCGTTGCCCTCACGAGCTGAACGCGCACACCGTCAACTTGCTAGCTACCTGGATGCTCAAGCATCCTTCCGTCGACGACGATGGTGCCCAGGGCAGAGGACATTCCACTGACGAAGCGGCCAGATGTTCGTCCCGGGGCAGCACGAGAAACGTAAGGGGCGAACTCTATCGGTACTTTGAATACATTCTCAAACGTTGACATTTGCAGCGGCAGGATGAGCCTGGAAGCACTTCAGAAACCGACGTCGTTTATCGAAGGGGAATCATGGGATGGCGCCGTCGTATATCTTCAGATTTAAGGTACTCCAATTTGGATAGGCGCGAGAGGTGGCACGTCCGCGGTGAAGCCCATCCTCTTATAAGAAACACGTCTCCGGTTCTCGACGATTTTGATTTCAATTTATCCCCTCCGACCGATCTATACGTGGTAATATTCTCGTGTTCCCGTGTTCAACGTCAAATGTATCTTATTGTGAATTCTTCCAGAGGACGGATTCGTGCAGCTGTCCTTTTTGCGCAAAATTAAGCAACGGCAGTCCGAACAAGCCCGGTACATCATCTACGAAGAGTTTCTTCAATCAGGATGATCAAGCATCACCGGATGCTGAAGTTGCAGGTAATCAATTACTTTATTTGTTTTCTCTTTTATTAATTATTTCAACGCTAATATTATTTAGGTGCGAAATGGATTGAGTATGAAGAGCTACGGAAGGACAGCGAAAAGATGGAATTGTACAATCTACATTGTTTGGCGCCGGACATAATATATAAAGATACAGGTGAGATGAAGTACATACACTGAAATAAATAAATTACAATCATTAATTTATTGTTTTTTTAGAATCAAGTGAATCGGACGTAGAATCGATTGATTTTTCATTTTTGCTGGACAACGATGCCATAACTGCGGTAAAGTCATCGCTGCGATTAAGCGAATCATATTTTCAAGCAAAACCGATTGATTTCTCCGAGGCGGATCCATTGGGCACGAACACCGTCCCCTCGGTGGACATCAAATCGCACCGTCAGACGGACTACACTTTCAGAGATATGGGAGCACAGGCCTTCAAGCTGAAACTGCCCGGTGATCGGATCATTGCCTGCAAGTATTTAAGTAGGACCGTCCGGGTGCTGCTATGTCGCCGCATAGTGCTATGTGCTCTTTCCTTATTGTCGCGGAATGCCAGCACCATCAATCTGGTAGACAGTTTAGGAACGATTGGATTGTCGGATATCAGCAAGGTGGTGAAGCTTATGACACTAGCGTCTGAGAACCGAGTGGAGGTAGTAGACTTCCAGAATACCGGCGATAGCAGTGAGTGTGCGCTCTGGTTGAACAAGAGTCTGACTAAGCTGTCGCTTAATATCCCTGCTACTGACAACGGTTGTTTGCAAAACCTGAGCATCGCTATCGCAGCCTTGGCCAAGAACGACGCTAACTCGTCCAAGATGGTCTTGAACATGTGTACGAGAGATCTGCTAATGACGGCGCTGAAGGTGTCCAAGTGCGGCTTTGCTGTGACCCAGGCATTGGTCTCTATACTATCCTCGCATGGTGGCTGCTCTCTGCTCGACTACCCGAAGGAGGAAGCTTGCGCATCGGCGGTGATCCGCAATTGCGGAGCGCTCAACCTGATGAACGCTTTGTCGGCGTGCATTATCTCACAGATATCGAGCGAAACTAGGCAGTGGGCGACGCAGCAGCTCTTCAAGTGCATCTCGACTAGGTTCGAGCAGTATACCGGTTACGAGCAGGTCAACTACGCCGATCTCGGTGAATACCTACCCAAAGGAAAGGTGACGAAACTGGAGGGTCACGAGAACCGTATCTGTTGCATTGCCTACTGCAAGACCAAAGGACTGCTGGCCTCTGCAGGTTATGATGGTACCGTTCGTATCTGGTCTTTTGATAATTTTAATAGCCAGATGGATTCGGACAGATCCCAACAGTATCCCAACCGCGAGCAAACGCTCGTCTTCCATGAGTCCATGGACGTTTACGGTCTCGAACTCAGCAACAAGCCGATCACGAACCTATGTTGGTCACAGTATGGTAACTGCCTTGCCGCCTCCATGGGCAACATTGTCAACATTTGGAATGTAACCGGTACATCCGCCAACCAAGATGATCGAGATTGGTATATCGATGATCAGCATGTGCAAGTCACATGTATGACTTGGCCACAGTACAAGCCTGACAGCGACGTGGACTACATTTTGATTGGCAAAATTGACGGCACCGTTACTTTGCTAGCCATACAGAAGGATCAGAAGAATATCGTCAAGATCTTCAGCACCGATGAAACTAAAGGTATATTTTTCAATGCTCTTATAACTATAAATTGTTTCATTATTTGTTTACTTATTTTTAGTTGTGACGCAAGTCGATTGGTATTACGAGGATAAGGAATTTGCTATTGCGTATAATGATGGCACTGTGAAGATTGGAACCATTCACAGTAATCCGTCGACGCATAAAATGCACGAGCGTGAAGTGACCTGCTTGAAGTATGGACCTCAAGCTAAATTTCTAGCGACCGCCTCATCAGACATGACCTGCAAGATTTGGTCGTTCCGTGAAAATGCCCTGACATTGGTCCACATGCTGAGTATCAAGCAAATGCCCAGCTGCATCGATTGGATGCAAAATGAAAGTCCTTACGTGATCGCCGTTGGAACGACGCACGGCTGTGTCAACGCCTGGTTGCTTCCGGTGGATGGAAAGTTACCGAAATTGTTAATAAGCAAGCAGGGACATTTCTGCGAGTCAATTGCAAGCATCAGCGTAGACAGAAATGGTACATTCGTGGCCACATCGAGCGCAAAGGCTCCGAACGGCGTAGTGAACGTCTGGTCCTTGCCCGACGGCGTTCTGGTATATACGCTGAAGGGCGGCACCGATTTTAATGGACTGCAGTGGACATCCGAGAACAAACTCTGCGTAGCCTTCAATCGCTCAAAGGACGTACACATTTTTGACTACACCTGCAACGATTACTATGAGTGCAGATCTCTGTGCATGGCTCGAACACTTCTTCTAGAAAACGGCGTAAGAGACTTGCAGAATGCTACGTTTTTCAAATCCTTCGTCACCCAACTCCCCACGATGATTGCGGATCAGCATCAAGCGGAAAAACTGCAAGTGCAAACTGGATCACAGCTAATGCATAGCGTCTACTTGAAGAGCTTAAACTCTATTGCGCTGCTTCTAAATCTGAACCGCGTGATCTGCTACAATCCAACGCCAGCACGCGAACACATATTGAACACGTATTGGCTGGAGAACTATGCAAGAACGGTGCGCATTTCGGAATATTTGGTAACACGTTCGAAGCTCGTTAAGGAAGATGAAGATGATGCAGAAAGGGATGATGAGGTGTGGCGTGATGTGGATTGGAGCATTAAGCAGGACGAACAAATTATGCAATGGGTAACGCAAAGACCGCAGGATTGGCAGATCGGCGGAAAATGTATGACGTACCTGTGGGGATCAAACAGGAATGGACAATTAGCCGAGGTGAATGGTAAAACGTCCGTGCCGATACCGGTGCATTCGTTTAACATGGCGAAGAAGATCATCTGCGGAAATAACTGCACTTTCGTGATACTGGCCAATGGGTCGGTGCAGGCGTGTGGCGAAGGCAGCTACGGAAGGCTCGGTCAGGGCAACTCTGATGACCTCTACGCGTTGGGCATCATCTCCAGCCTGCAGGGATTCGTGATCACCGATCTGGCGACGTCGGTGGGTTCGGACGCTCACAGCTTGGCTTTGGCTGAGAGCGGAGAGGTGTTCTCCTGGGGCGATGGGGATTATGGTAAGCTCGGTCATGGAAACAGTGATCGACAGAGGAGGCCTCGACAGATCGAGGCACTGCAGAATGAGGAAATCATTCAAGTATCTTGCGGATTCAAGCACAGCGCTGTTGTGACTTCCGGTGGAAAGCTGTTCACCTTCGGAAATGGCGATTACGGAAGACTCGGTTTGGGCACTACGTCGAACAAGAAGACTCCGGAAAGAGTTAACTTTGCGCAGAACGTGAAGATCGGCCAGGTGTCTTGCGGATTGAATCACACCGCTTGCGTTTCGGTGGACCGCACGAGCGTATGGACGTTCGGTGAAGGAGATTTTGGCAAACTGGGCTTGGGTCACGCGAAGAGCAAGTCCGTGCCGCAGCTGGTGGAATCCATGTACGGTGTGGGCGTGAAGAAGGTCGGATGCGGTACGAACTTGACCATATTTTTGACGGAAGCCGGGAAGATCTTCGTGTGCGGAATAGATCGCATCCACTGGCAGGTGCAGACGTGCAAGAAGTCGATGTACAGACCACTGGAACTGACCAAACTGAGCGAGTACACTTTCGCGGACTTTGCGATCGGCACCGAACACGCCTTGTTCTTGACCACCTGCGATAAAGTCTTCGCATGGGGCATGAACGGCGACGATCAGCTGGGCATTCAGCAGGCCATCATCTGGGAGCCGGAGATCATACCGCAATTATCCAACAAGGGTATAAGACAAATATCGACGGGGAGATCGCACAGCGCCGCTTGGACGGCCACCCCCTTGCAACAACGCAAACCGGGCGCGCTCGGTTCTCTGACATTCGGTGTACCCGACGAGGTGCCCAGCCAATTCGAGCATCTGCGTGGAATTTCCATGGCCGCTATACAATCTCGACTGAAATTCCTCAATAACTTCTCCGACAAACTGTATGCCTGTTGGACCCTGATGCCACTCTGCGCTGAGCAGACCGACATGAACGTTGAACCGCTGAAGGCTTTGATTTCTCCGCAATTGAGACCGCTTTTTGCGTCCAGAGTTTACACGTTGCCCTTCGTTAGATGCATTGGTAAAACGATGGTTCAGGGCAAGAATTACGGACCGCAGATAACCGTAAAGAGAATCGCCAACAAAGGTAATGAAAACATCCCAAATCCTATACGCTATGTTTAATTATTTGCTTAAAATATTTAGGGCACAAATTCAAGCCAATCTTCATCCAAATCGCTAAGCAAGTCATCGACATTCGACCAAGCGAGTTACGTTTACCTTCGAGAGCGTGGAAGGTGAAGCTGATCGGGGAAGGCGCCGATGATGCTGGTGGTGTATTCGACGACACGATCACCGAGATGTGTCAGGAAATAACAAACGGAACGGTGCCGCTTCTCGTTCCCACACCGAACGCAGTGAACGATGAGGGCTTCAACCGCGACAAGTATCTGTTCAATCCGCAACTCACTTCGCAGCAGGACATCGTTTGGTTCAAGTTCTTAGGTAATTAATTGATTTAACGATCATCACAGTATGCTAACTTCATATTGCTTCAGGTATATTATTCGGAGTCGCTATTCGCACCAGGAAACCACTGGCTCTGCCTATAGCCCCGTTGATCTGGAAGCTAATAGTGGGTGATACGGTGAGCATTGATGATCTGGAGGAGACGGACAGCATGTACATGCAAAGTCTGCGGAGCATCAGGGACATTCATACGGAGGGCGTGACCGAAGAGAACTTCCACGAGGTGATCCCACTGGAGAACTTCGAGGGGAAGAGCTGCACCGGAAAGATGGTGCCGATCGTACCAGGGGGACGGAACGTTCCCTTGACATTCTCCAACCGTAAGCAGTATTACGAGCAGGTGGTGAAATTCAGATTGAAAGAGTTCGATCTGCAAGTGGCGGCTGTACGGGAAGGCATGTCGGGGATCATCCCGGTGCCGCTGCTCTCTCTGGTCACCGCCGAGTACATGGAGCAATTCGTGTGCGGCATGTCGCAAATCTCGATCCCATTGCTGAAGAAGGTTGTCAGGTACAGGGATCTAGATGAGCATCATCAGCTAGTTCAATGGCTGTGGAACATCCTCGAGAGCTTCAGCAATGCGGAACGCGTTCTCTTTATGCGTTTCGTTTCCGGCAGATCGAGGCTACCATCAAATCTGGCCGACCTCTCGCAGCGATTCCAGGTCGGAGTAATATGAAAATCAATCAGACAATCTTAATATGATGCTTTTTTCAGGTAATGAAGGTCGATCGCACTGTTAATGGTTTGCCGACGGCGCAGACTTGCTTCTTTCAATTGCGTCTTCCGCCGTACACGAGTCAGGAGGTGATGGCAGAGAAACTGCGTTACTCCATAAACAATTGCCGATCCATAGACATGGACAACTACATGTTGGCGCGGAACACGGAAATGGGACCCGGCTCCGACGAAGAGTTCTGAATCACATCCGGTTCATAGAATTTTTTTTACTTTTTCGGAATTAATATTGATTTTATATTTCAATCAAGTATTACAATTTACGATTACTTTAGTCCTATTATATATATATATAACAAATTAGTATCATGATAAATAATACATCATCATCACCGCGTGTATTGGAGGATGCATTTGATCGATTCGACCCAATCCAATCGTCAATCTATGGTCAGCACTCTGAAGGAGCCTTGCATACCGAAGAGGTTGCCGTCGCCGTTCTTGTTGCTCTGCGGCCGCAGTCTCTCGTCCACTTTCCACTTGCTCGGATCCATGTAGAAATCTCTGTTTTCGCAGACTCTCTGGCGCCATTCCTCCTTCAGCGACTTCATTGTCACCGGCAGACTGCCACCGAACTCCTCCGGAATCAGATCCCTCGGAATGTGATCGAAGAGCGTTGTCGAATTCGGCAAATGGAAATGCAACTGAAAGACAGACCATAATTTAAATGCAAATTTTAAAAAAAAAACAAATTATGAGGTTCCACCGAGATTTGAACTCGGATCGCTGGATTCAAAGTCCAGAGTGCTAACCATTACACCATGGAACCTGTTAGGATCCGGCGAAAGGCGGTCGCCGATTCTTCTCGGTGAGTCACCTTATGTGCATATGAATGCAAATCGAGGTAGATTTGGTTGCGTAATTACCAATTGGGATACTTCGGCCTTCATGAACGGTTTAACCAGGGCCAAACATTTATCGAAGAACGGAACGATGTTGAGGACGTGGATCTGCCGCAATCTGACCGGGTGCGCTTCCTGAGAATCGTGTAAAACATTACCATACCAATGCAATCATCCATCGTTTTGAAATGTTCACCTGCGTGAAGACCATGTACTTCTTCAGCAGCGGAAGAGTGATCTTGGTCATGTGACGCAGCGTGAGATGACCCATATCGAAGATGGGAATCTCCCCTTCGGAGTATTCGCGGTCCGAGTACATCCTCATGTCGGCGACCATGAAGAAAGCTTTCAGGGAATCGGCGAACAGGAACTTCTCCACGTCGCTGTCGGTCAACCGGTATATGAAGAGCTTGTACTTCTTATCGGTTAGCTTGGGTAGCGGGCAGAAATCGCTGGAAACGAAAACAGCGTTCAGAAGAAACACTTTTGTAAGAAATGCACAGTTACATGATGTCAAACATATTTTGTATCGCTCTGTCTTCGGGGTCGCGCTTATCGAAGATCTCTGGAGCTTGCGATCGCAGCGTGTAGTTCAGATCGAGCAGACTCTTGCACTTCTCCAGACTCATCTCCGAGCACTGGATGAATCTGGCGAGAACGCTCTCATCTGCAAATGCGAACGATGCGATTGAATGCGAAACGATCAAAAAATTAATCTTACCAATGTTCTGCGGTAAATGCGGTTGCTTCCTCAGCCATACCTGCATAGCCTTCACATACTCTGCGCACTGTTGGTCTTCCTTCATGTTGCGAGCCTTACGGGCGTTCCGAATCGATCTTCCTGCTATTATATAGTGGATGCAGGAAATGCGCAACAACTAGCTGTTTGTTCTTACCTCACGTCCGTGTATAATGCGATTTCTACACAAAGTGCAATGTTTGATTAGCGAGCCTCCTCGATGAGCACGATGCAGTGAAATTGGCGATCTCTTGTAAAACTCTGTCCCACTTGAGAAACAAAAAAGCAGCAGCAGAAGCAGGGAAAGAAAGAGGAGGAGGAGGAATTGTAAAAGAGAAGTTGCAAGCAATTACGGAACTTTCTATGCGACTCGGATGTCACGGAGACCCGCGAGATGAAACAAAAACAAGTTTGGGATGGTTACATATTCGAATTGCGCAACGATTCATTTGCGTTTCGCGATGTGAATCCACAATAATCACTTAATACAATATCGGCTTTGTTTACGGCCCGTTTTTCTCGCGTACACACACTAAATGCCGTAATTCTTGTTTTCTATTTGAAAAACACACATTCACTTTTAACAAATCTTCCCCACAAAATACATACTTTGGATACTTAATTGGCAATGAATATATTTTACAATTATAAACTGGAATATCCACTATTAATGTTTCTATTCAACAACAATAAATATAATAACTGTGTGTCATAATGATTTTTTCTTTTATTTATTATAATTATAAACACAATCCATTACAATAAACATCAATTTTTCAATAGTTATCTAAAAGTGTTCTTACAACAAGTTAAGAACAATTTCAGCAAATGTCTACGATTTTTAATATTTTCATGATAATTAATAATAATAAAATTAATTGTAAAACAACTATTGAGCGCCAATTACGATTATTTGCAGAATAATTGATTGTACATAGAAATTTGAAAATTTGAAAAAAATCTTGTATTTCGCATTTCCACTGTCAGGTGGACGAAGTTGATGCTAAATCGATCATGGAATTCTATCAATTAGCATGCATTTCCATATATACCTCTTTCTAAAAGGCATCAATTGCATTGATAACCAGTCGAATACATCTTAAGATGATTGGTTTCCATAGCAACCAGGTCGTTTCCATAGCAAATTAAAACATATTAAATAAACACGCATTTGTTTTTGCCTTACTCATACCTGACACATTTCAACGTAAACTTCGATCGAAAACTTAAATAGTTTAGAATGAAATAACATCGATAAACTTAAACGATTTACATTCTTTTGTAACAACGAATTTTCATCTAATTATTTTTGGAATTGGCTGGCATCAACAAACAGCGACAGAAGCATTTACGTCTAATCAATGTTACGCCCACTCAGCAAAACGAGCCAATAACAGGTAGATGTCAAATATGTAATAACAGAATGTTATTATAATTATAATAACATTCTGTTACAAAAAACATCAGCAATTTTTCAATAGTTCTCTAAAAGTGTTCTTACAACAAGTTAAGAACAATTTCACAAATTTCAGCAAATGTCTACGATTTTTAATATTTTAATGATAATTAATAATAATAAAATTAATTGTAAAACAACTATTGAGCGCCAATTACGATTATTTGCAGAATAATTGATTGTACATAGAAATTTGAAAATTTGAAAAGATCTTGTATTTCGCATTTCCACTGTCAGGTGGACGAAGTTGATGCTAAATCGATCATTAAATTCTATCAATTAGCATGCATTTCCGTATATACATCTTTCTAAAAGGCATCAATTGCATTGATAATCAGTTGAATACATCTTAAGATGATTGGTTTCCATAGCAACTAGGTCGTTTCCATAGCAAATTAAAACATATTAAATAAACACGCATTTGTTTTTGCCTTACTCATACCTGACACATTTCAACGTAAACTTCGATCGAAAACTTAAATAGTTTTGAATGAAATAACATCGATAAACTTAATTAATTTATCATCGCATTAATTAATTTATCACTTACGTCGCATTCTATTTGTAACAACGTTAGACATTTATGTTTTCTCACCATAAAAGGTACATGTCAAATATGTAATAACAGAATGTTATTATAATAACATTCTGTTACAATAAACATCAGAAATTTTTCAATAGTTCTCTAAAAGTGTTCTTACAACAAGTTAAGAACAATTTCACAAATTTCAGCAAATGTCCACGGTTTTTAATATTTTAATAACAATTAATAATAATAAAATGAATTGTAAAACATAGAAATTTGAATAAAATCTTGTATTTCGCATTTCCACTGTCAGGTGCCGCATGATGACGACAATTTAAATAATTCGTTAAACTAAATGCAACTGAATGTACACATGCGTTCGACGGGTAGCGGAAACAGCGAGAAAATTTGAAAATGTTTTGGGGAAAGTCATCAGGCAGCGCCGGTTGAAAATTAGTTTCTAAATGGTATTTTAATGGTTACGTAGAAGAATGAGAGCATAGCAACGCGGCAACAGTTAAGCAGCGATCGAGTGAGGAGAGAAGTTGAGCTGGTGAGCGGAGAGAGAGAGCGCGCGCCCACATTCGCGACCAATTCAAAAACAAACTTCCGATGATCAGCTGTTATTTTAGTGATGTCAATTCCGAGTCTAACAATTTTACGAAAGTTCCCAAGGAAATTCTCGGTGGAAATCTTTACAAGGAATTTCTCCAGACGAACGGTGAACACGGATGGATCCTTCAAGGTGGTAAAGTCGCGCCAGGTGCAGAAAGGTAACTTCCCAGACGATTCCTAACCTATTCATGATGCAACAACAACAATCATCCTATTTACATTTCTCTCATAATTATTACAATTTTTTTTTTCCAGATAATGTTACGACATTGGCTCAAAGGGATCCCAACATTGAAATACTGACTTCGAAGAATTTCCCATTCTTTCTGAGAGGAGACGTTGGGCCAGCCTGGTATGATGTACACACCACTGTTAGCGATGAGAAGGTTTTGCTCTTACCAGAGGACGAGGTGATCAATAAGTAATTGTACATTCTGTACGTAATGAGTTGATATTTGCAGAGAAGCGGAAATATCGCATGCCGCATCCAGGCCTGTCCGCAAGTGTTGAGGAAGACGGTGTACGACCTGTTTCCGCACAGGAATCTGAGCCAATCCGATCTGTCCGTCGTGACGATCAACATCAAGACGGACCTGAAACTGCTCAGGAAGAACAACGAAATGGAAACGGAGAAGCTGGCGCAAAGAGTAACGTCTCGGTCGAGCCTAAGAAGATTCAATCGTATTTCTAATCGCCCCTTGTACGTGCCCCACAGTTCGTCATGACCGCGAAGAATGTGTGCAGCAAGCTGCGGTCGTTGGGCTATTGGGCTGACTTCATAAATCCGTTCTCAGGGAGGCCGTACTTCTCCGTCACCGTTGGCAACGAGCTCTACAGCACCGACGAGAAGTTCCGCTGCATGGACTTTCAGATCTTCGAAATCGAAAAGTGCCTCATCATCTCCAACGAGGAGGACAAACCGAAAAAGTCTTTCATCGGTAAAGTGTCTCATCTGCGTCATTCTCAAATTGGCTATTAACTACATCTCTTTTGCAGGTAGTTTATTTACCAACGCTCCAGCTCATAAGGACCATCTGTCTTCAGTCGTTGAACAAGTCTAAATAATACTTCGTCTTGTTTTAACTAAATATATTCATAATTCTATAACCACTATAGAGGCGAAATCAAAGTGCTTTGCTCGGAAACGTTAAAATTTAGATTGTCTCATATTTTATTTGAATACAACAGGGGGAATGTTTTTTTTTTTTTGCAATTGGAATGTCGTGAAACGAAACTGTGAATCAATTGTTTAAATGATATAAAAAAAAAGTATATATAATATATAATAAATGGTAATATCAAATAGCAAATAAGAAATGTTCATTCAGTATTTTGGGGGCGGTAACATATTTGACATCTTCCTTTTATTGGCTCGTTTTGCTGAGTGGGCGTAACATTGATTAGACGTAAATGCTTCTGTTGCTGTTTGTTGTTGCCAGCCAATTCCAAAAATAATTAGATGAAAATGGTGAGAAAACTAAACTTTTTAACGTTTTTACAAAGGAATGTAAATTGTTTAAGTTTATCGATGTTGTTTCATTCTAAACTATTTAAGTTTTCGATCGAAGTTTACATGTTGACATGTGTCAGGTATGAGTAAGGCGAAAACAAATGCGTGTTTATTTAATATGTTTTAATTTGCTATGGAAACGACCTGGTTGCTATGGAAACAAATCATCTTAAGATGTATTCGACTGGTTATGAATGCAATTGATGCCGTTTAGAAAGATGTATATACGGAAACGCATGCTAATTGATAGAATTCAATGATCGATTTAGCATCAACTTCGTCGACGTTGAATTTTTATATAAAATGCGGCCGGTTTACGTGCATTGAAATTGAAGTGAGATCTGCTGCTGAGTTGTTTGCGAATGGAATGAAATTGTTTTTCATTAGGTAATTCGAAAAAAGAGCGCGCTTCTGGTGAGCGCGCATGCCCTTACGTTGACGCGTCCACGCTCTTTCCACCCGAGAGCTTTTATTGATATTCCCCTCTCGCTCTAAACATCTTTATCCGCCATTGCATAAGTTGGCAGTGGATGCCCTCGTCGATTTCGACTGTGTTTTGTTTGTTCGCGGCGTTTGGTTTATTATCAACCGTGCGGCGAAAGTGCACCTATTTGTATGTTACCATGCTGCTAGTGAATTGACCAGAGAACAGGTAGATCGAGAAGAGGTAAGAGCTCTACTATCCTCGGGTCACCCCTCCGTTGCTGCAGCAGCGACCGACCGACGTTGTTTCGGTGTCTCTCTGTCTCATATATAACAATTATACATGACGAGGTTACATTTGCTGTGCAGTTTATATTTAGTTCTGCGGTCGCAAAACCAACCAACCAACCAACACCGGTTGTTGGAAGAGCGCTGTTGCATCTGCTAATGTTTCGGATTGACGAGAACTGCGTTCGGTATTCGTGCAACTGACTCTGCTTGTAAATAGAAACATGCACCGTCGCAGCAGCCAGTGCCCATTGTTATTGTTGCGCCTAAACACATAATTTGTTTCCAACAAATGCGACTTAGACCTTCGGTGCAATTGCAACGGCTCGCGGCAAAACCGCACTGCAACGATACGAACGCCAAGGTATCATCATCATCAATCAATATTGCCAAGCCTATTTCTCATTCATCAATGCATCCATCCACTTGCTATAACACATAATTATTGATTAAACATTTAAACTCGATCTAAATGTATGTACACAAAAGGCGACCTGTTAATTGATCGATTGTTGATCCGCAGGTCAGGATGAGCAAGCGACGTCGTACGAGTTCTATAGCCAGCCGTGGCCAGGAGGAGGATTCTTTGGATAGCATCGAAGCCTCTTCCAGCAGTGGCCCATCGAGCAGGAAGCGAATGAAGAAGCAAGATCCAGTTAGTGATTATTCCTATACTATTAATGAAAAACATAAATCAAATTAGTTAACTTGTATAAAATCATCTTAGTATTCTATAATTGGAACGTAATGGAATTTTGTTTTGTAGATGGAATTGGTGCAACAAATATATGATTCGATAAGAAATTACAAGAAGGAGGATGGTACTCTGCTGTGCGATGCGTTCATCCGTGTCCCGAAACGTCGACAGGAACCCAGATACTATGAGGTCGTGTCCAATCCCATAGATCTGCTTAAGGTGCAGCAGAAATTGAAGACAGACGAGTACGAAGATATAGACGACTTGCAGATTGACATTGATCTGATCGTCAGCAATGCGATAGCGTTCTACAAGAAAAACTCGCAAGAGTTCAAGGACGCTTGCGATCTGTGGGAGTTGTTCTTAGTGAACAAGGCTAGAATATACGACGGCAAGGATGACGATGCGGAAAAGTCTAAAGCTCTGCTGCGGGTGGCGCGCGCCCAGAGGAAGGCAATGACTCCGGAGTCCCGCATCATGAAGAACGAGGTGGACATATCGGAAGACACGTCGGAGAGTTCCACGAATCCGGACGAGGAGTTTAACGTGTACGAGGACCTGTTCACCGCCATAATGACGGCAACCGATGCGGAGAACCATCCGCTCCACATCGACTTCCAATTGTTACCTTCGAAGAGGAAGTATCCGGAGTATTATGAGGTTATCGAGAATCCCATCGACCTGAAAACCATAGCCGTGAAGATCCAGAGCAACGAGTACAGCACGCTGAACGATATGGAAAAGGATCTGCTGCAGATGACGAAGAACGCGTGCACATTCAACGAGCCCGGCTCGCAGATCTACAAGAACGCCAAGGCGCTGAAGAAGATCATCACCAGCAAGAAGATCGAAGTGGAGCACGGAAAGTACCAAGGCGGAAAGAGCAGCGAGCGAATTCGCAATAAACGGATGAGAGCTAGCACCAGCTTATCGGCTGTCACTGCTGCGTTGCACGACGAGTCCGAGATGGAGCTGGAACCAGATGAATCCATGGAGGAAGATGTACGTAGATTGCATTACGCAACAATATTAAATACTAAATTAACCGTTTTGTGCAGGTGGGAGTCGTAGATTCGGATAACCCCAAGTGGCAACTGTTCGACACCGTTAAGTCGGTGACGACAAACTCCGGTGGTTCTCTGAGCGAACCTTTCTGGCGGCTGCCGTCGCGACGCGTTTACCCCGACTACTATCGCGAGATTAAGAACCCCGTCTGCATGATGCAGATACGTCGCAAATTGGTCTGCCAGTCGTACGGCACCGTAAGTGAAGTTGCTGGAGATATGACCATCATGTTCGAAAACGCAAAGAAATATAATCTTCCTTCATCCAAACTCTACAAGGTATTTGAGGATCACCACTACAACAACACTCCTTCGTCTAAGATTAACGGAATTTTTCTTTTTTTCTAGGACGCTGTTAAACTGCAGAAAGTGATGCAATCCAAAGTGCAAGAACTGCTTGACTTAGATCAGGTAACAAACACGAAAGTCACTAACAAATTACGAAAGGTATGGCTTTTAACCTGCACTGCTTTTTAAAATTTTCAGTTCTCTACTAAAATACTTTTTGCATGCATTAATTACATCTCACCACTTAAGTTCTGTTTGCTTCCTGCGAAATGAATATAACAAATTAACTTTAAAGTAGATTTGAATGTGCATGAAAATAGTATATTTTTCAAATGTTGATTACGTTTTTTTTATAGGATACTGATAATGAAGAAACTGATAATCGCAAAAAGGGCGGAATTAAAGTAAAAACTCCATCGACACCGGCGCCGCGCGGACGTCCTGCCAAAGATGTGATACCGCTAAAGAGAAGACTTCATTCGTTGGCCAAATTCCTTTTGGATTACTCTGTGAGTATACGATGTAAATGATATGTTCAGATTGATTTATTATTATTTTGCTAGAAGGAAGATGGCAGAAAACCGCTGATGGGTTTCATGGAGAAACCATCGAAGAAATTATATCCGGATTACTACCAGGTCATCACCGAGCCCATTGACTTCCTGGAGATCGAGGCGAAAATAAAAGGAGAACAATACAGCAGCGAGAATGAGCTGGTGCGCGACTTCAAGCTTATGTTCTCCAATTGTCGAACGTACAACGAGGAGAACTCGCACATCTACGAGGATGCCACTCTTTTGGAAAAGGTGCTCATCGAGAAAATCGGTCAGACTATAGTGACTCCCGAGAGAAAGACGTACAGCAGAGTGTAAGTTATCAAAACCAACCCGCGCATCTAATGAAAGATGAAAATTCACGTGCAATTTGTTTGCAGCGCCAGACCCAAGCGTATCTTGACACCGATTGATAGGAATTGCCGCACTCTGTACGACACCATCAAGGATTACCGAGAACCCAAAGCCAACCGGCAGCTATCTCTGATATTCATGAAGCTTCCGTCGAAGAGCGTAATAACTTGTGAGCTCTGAAGATTCATCTGTCAGATCTAATTGTTATCGTTTTGCAGGATTACCCCGATTACTACGAACTTATCAAGAGCCCCGTAGACATGGAGAAGATATCGCACAAGGTGAAGTCTAAGGAATACGACACGCTCGAGGATTTAGTCTCCGAATTCAACATGATGTTTGATAACGCGTGCAAGTACAACGAGCCCGACTCGCAGATCTACAAGGACGCGTTGGTGCTGCAGAAGATCTGTCTGCAGACGAAGCTGCAATTGAAGGAGGATGACGATACCGTTCCGGATGTTCCGGCCGCCATTCAGGATCTTCTGCTAAGCCTGTTCACTTCCATTTATAACCACCAAGACGTAGATGAACGCTGCTACTCTGATTCCATGTCAGATTTACCCGAACACGACGACATTGATGGCAAAAAGTAAGTTACAAAAATTATTTGTTTACCCGTTATCAAGTATATTATTATAACCATGTTTTTTTATTAGGGTGCGCGCTCTGTCACTAGATTTGATTAAACGACGACTTGATAAAGGACTCTACAGGCGTCTGGACACGTTCCAAGATGATTTCTTTGCGTGCCTGGAGCGAGCTCGTCAATTATCGCGCTCGGACTCTCAGGTTTTCGAGGATTCCATCGAGATGCAGACTTTCTTCATCAAGTTACGAGATGAATTGTGCAGAAACGGTGAGCTACTGCATTCGCCCGCACTTAACTATTCGTTGATGAATCTGCAGACTAGCGTTGAAACGGTGCGTCAGAGCAAGCAACTCCAAGAGTCTTTAGACGATGAGAACGAAACGCGCAGTTCGGACGACTCCATCATAAAGGATTCGTTGAACATCGGCGAGACGATGACTTTCAACCAGAGGACTTTCAAAGTGGGAGACTTCGTTTATCTGGATGCGAAAGAAAAGGGCGTCGATCCGCACATTCTGCTTATCGAGAGGCTGTGGTCAAACGGTGGTCAGAAGATGTTGTACGGCAACTATTATCTTAGACCCGCTGAGACCTACCATCTGACTACCAGGAAGTTTTTGGAAAAAGAAGTCTTCAAGTCGGATACGCACGTCGCCGTGCCCTTGGAGGACATCAAAGAGAGATGTTGCGTTATTAATTTTAAACAGTATTTCATCATGAAACCAGAAGGTAATACAGTTAATCTAGGAAATAATATAGTTTAATAATTTAACTTAATCTTTGTTTAGGTTTTGATGAGAAAGACGTGTACGTGTGCGAGTGCCGATACAGCACGAAATCCAGAAGCTTCAAGCGTATAAAACTCTTCCCCGAAAGCCCCAACATGGTGCTGGTGCCTCGCGAAACCCCAATGGAGCCCAAGCGCGTCGTATCCATCTTCAGAGAAAGAGTAGAGAAGCACAAGGATGAATTGGCCGAATTGCAAGAGATCGAAAGATTGGTGGAGAAAGAGAAACCGGTACGTTTTTTTTTTAAATACAAAACTTTGAAATGATGATGAAAACTAATGTTGATTACATTTCAGAATGTAATAGCCTTCTCGCAAATGGAACTGGACGACGGTAACACTTACTTCGAGCAATACAATACGATTTGTAGCGGAGTCGTAAAGACCGGCGACTTTGTATACGTCGCTGCGGACGGCGGTCGTCAGACCATCGCTCAAATCGATAGCATCTACGAAACTAAAGAGTAAGATGGATCGCGCAAACGATGCAACAATTGTCTTATATTCTATTGTTTCTATCTTTAGTGGGAAGTGTTATTTCCGTGGACCCTGGTTCGTCCTACCATCCGAGATGCTTCAGATCCCCAACCGGTCGTACTACAGGCAAGAGATGTTCCTCTCCACCCTCGAAGAGGTCAATCCCATCGTCAGCGTTGTTGGCAAGTGCACGGTCCTGGACTACAACGAGTACATCTCGAGTCGACCCACCGAAATCCCTGAAGTGGACGTGTACATTTGCACGTCTCTGTACGACGAGATCAACAGGCAATTGCAGAAACTGCCGTTAGACGGCCTGAAGAAGTATCACCACAGCAGCGGCGTCACCGAGGACGAGATCTACTACTTCCCCAAGTTGATCAATCCGCTCAAAGTGAGTACACTGAATCTCCGATTATCACCAATTCATTTCTTCGATCGCGATTGCGATTTCTTCCCAACTCTTCTCTCTCTAGCTTCTCTGCTGCATGTGCGCCCGCTTAATGTGTTTTCATGTCATGAACGCTTCTCAAATCACGTTTCGTTTGCCTGTTCATAAATAACAACAACAACAGCAAAAATGAGTGTCTGTGTCTTTTGTTCACGGCCCAATATGTCGTCGGATAGTTCGCATGCTAGTGTGACACGTTAGCTAATTGTGTGTGCATGATGTCAATGTGTTTCAGGTGGGCAATGAACCACAATTAATGGAAGCTCCCGCCAAGGCTCAGGCCACTATTTTGGAAGTTGTGAGTATCACACGTTTCTTTTGCACGAACGTTCTTCTCCCATCTTTTTATTCTTCCGAAATCTTTCAAATACGCAAACCTATTGTTCTATATATTTAAGTGTATGCATGTGATTATTTGTTTTAACTTTATGTTACGAGTACGTGATAATTAATATCATCGTTTTTTTTTTTTGCACTAACTCATTGCGTAACTCATCCATATCAACATTGGTACATTTGCTTTATATGTGTATAGTGTATAATAGTCTTAAGAACGCTCGACGAACAATTAATCCATTTGGACAATCATATTTTGCATTCACCTTGTGTAAAGTAAAGTGAAAGCGAAAGTTTTAAGAACAATTTCCATATAAATATATATGAAAACCTGGATAATTACAAACCTCTTAAGAAAGATTTAATGGCCTGGTAGACAAAGTCATTAGAGAAAATGGTCAATTCAAGGTTAATTACGTTTGACTTTTACACTTTCTCAAATTGAAATATTATTTCTTAACATAACAAATAATCATAAATTTATATAGATATCAGGAAAGTCAACAGATTTATCTTTTCACTATATGAAAATCAATGTACTTCAAATATTGACAATGCATCAGTTTTCTCTGTATTTATTAATGTCGATGATCAAAACTGAAGCTCGCAGATGCAGTTTGTGTTTGTCATGGATTGCGTTGATTGTAATCAAAACGGGTTGCTGCTTGTCCGAGGGAAATTCTTGAGGCTGGAAAGTAATTCGCGTTCAATTGCATTTTAAATGCCGTCAATAATTCCCGCGTCCGGTCGAAACCAGTTCGCGTTGCTCGTCGCGTTACGCATTTCAATTCTGCGCTAGTTTGTTTAGAATTGTTGTTTGCGCTTCGCTCACTTTTTTCACTTTCTCTTTTCCTCCTCCGGCCAGCGAGGAACTGCTGGCAGAGATAGTGGAGTTGATCCGAAGGACGATGCTGGCGGGTTGTGTGAAAATCGTTGTACATATATATATTTATATTCTCTCGGTGGTGTTGTGTGTTGTTTGCGCGTTATCGTAACGGGCGGGTTCGTTGTTGATAACGGCTATCGTTATCAACAAACGCGCATGATGCAAGCGCGCTTTGAATATCCAGCGTTCTGTAAGTGCTTCTCTGTTCTGTAGTGAGTCAGGGGGGAGAGTGTGCGACCTCGCCTGCTGCGCGCAAACGCCTCCACGCATCGTGGACTCAGCGTTAAGAAGAAGCGGGGAAGTCCCCCCAAACGCGTCTCGCCGCCGCCGCCGCTCGCCGTTGATTTGAATGAGCTATTAGTAATTGTACTATCAAAACTATTGTCGCGGACAACTCAAGTACACACACAGTGCGCGTATACAATTCTCGCTCCTTCTCACGCTCCCAGACGCACGATTACTTAAGCCGTGTGTCTGTCGGCCGCAGCAACAGCAGTTCATTGAACTTTTTTCCCCAACTAACTGCACTTTGTGTGTGTGTGTGTGTGCATATATATACGTATATATATATATATAATCCACGCATTCCGCCTCCTTTGTTTTATTTCAATACATTATATATATGTATATATATATATATTCGTTTTATTTTTAATTAAGTCAGTGGGGGTTCGGAGCTCGCGCACATCGCTTACTCGTTTATAAATATCCGCGTCGCTGCAACTCCTTCGAGTACAGGTGGAAACGGAACGCATTAAAGACACACACACACGCACACACAACCTTTCCCCCCCGGAAAACATGGACAGTGAATCGGAGAAGGAATACACCTGCTTGGTAAAGAAATGCACATTTCTCTCGCTCTTATCCACTCTCTCTATCTTTCTCGGTGCTCAACGGATTGATGTTGTATAATCAAACATTTCCATGCAAACCCATTAATCATCGCATACGTTTACACGCAATCCAGCGCACCCGATTTCCTTCTTCCTTGTTACCACCACGATCATTGTGCGCGTTCTTAATTTTTATTTCTTTTTTTCTTTGGAACGCCGCCAAAGGAAACACCACCATCAGCCTTTCTATATTTACATAGGCTTGTTACATTATACATTCCCTCAGCATATGTTCTTTACTTGGATATTAACGTCTGCCCACAACAGATGTCGTCCTCCGTACAAGATTATTTACATGAACGTAGCCCATGCACAATCACAACAATCAAAGTCTAATTTAAGCCTTGCTCGAGTCTGATTGACTTGCATCGATTGCAATCTGTAATATTATTCTGAAAACTAATTCATTTTTCTAATTTATTCATCTGAAATTTTATTTATTCACCTTCAGCGATGGGAATTAAATATGCATGGAAATACTTGTGACATTGAAGTCTAATTGAATGCACACACACAAAAAAAAAGAACCAATTAATTTATTACCATTGAGAATTAGCGGTTGAGTCTTATTAATTTGCTGTTTGTCAAGGTTATAATATGGAATGGTGCACTTACGAATAATACAAGTGTCTGGGATTAGTTTTGATCTTTTCATTTCTTATACAATGGTAGAAAAAAAAAAACAGGTTTGATAACTTTTTCTTATCTAGGAATTCACTTTTGAAGTCTGTCGTTAATCAGTGTAACGGTAGAGGTTTAACAAACAAAATTCTTGTCAATATGGAAATCATCAAATTGGACATTGCTATTTGATCTTATTATAAATTAATAATTTAAATTGATGAAAGTTTGGGTAAAAATGTAGGGCAATGTTTAAATCAGCATTTATCTGTTTCAAGTGCGTGTGTTTCCGCATTTCATTTCTAATGTTATATTTCTTTTGTGTTAATGTAGGAGTCGTCTCCAATGTTGACGAAGCTCAACGACATGGACATCTTGATGGAAGATTCCATCGATGGGCCACCGAGTGTTGGTTCCGGAGAACTTCCGGCCACCGTTCCCATAAGCGGTAGTAGCATCTCAACTCCAGCCACCACCAAGAAGGTAAATATCTCATCTTAGTTCAATCAGTATATTTGAATGTGTTTTTGTTGTTGTTGTTGCAGAAAAACAAGAACAAAGTGATCACCGGTTACATCTTGTATTCGCGTGAGGTGCGTAAGACCGTGGTGGCGAACAATCCGAATTCGAGCTTCGGCGAGATCAGCCGGATCGTGGGGAACGAGTGGAAGTCGTTGTCGACGACGGAGAAGATCGCGTGGGAGGAGAAGGCGTCCAAGCAGAACGACGAGACGAAGGCCAGATTCCTGGAGGAGGGCGACTCGTGCAACAGCCCCGCACCTTCCACCCATCCCGATCACGTAAGCCATATTCGTCATCGAATCTTCGAGAATCGTAATGAAATTTTTTAAATTTAATATTCAGATATTCGAATGCTGCTGGGATACTTGCGATTACCAATTCGAAGAGTCTTCCGATTGCATCGAGCATTGCATCAGGGATAAGGACGGCGGCGGCGGACACGTGCAGACGTACTTCTCGCAGAATCCAGAAGCAGAGTTGCATTGCCTGTGGAGAGGATGCGCTCGCATCAAGAACAAGAAAAACTCGCAGCCCTTCCCCAACGTGACCAGACTCGTGAGGCACGTGCGCGACCTCCACATCAACAAGGGAAACGGACGGGTCGTTCCAATGGAGAACAGGAGCAAGTATGTACCATCTATATACTTAATCATCGTCTCATATACATACCTTTTTCTTGATGCAATTTCGGAATTGAATCTGTAAACTCGCTTTCATTGAAACTGTTATTACAATGAAAGTGGTATTTGTTTATATTTTGTGTGGCAGAAACAATCACTTCATATAATAATAATGTATTTAGGAACTTCATCGGAAACCGGGTGATGCCCGTTTTGCAGCCGTGCGTTTCGACGACCGTGGAGATCATTTCTGGTAATTGAGCTGCCTGCATACATACACCAAAAACTACTGCATGTTCGGTGTTTTCGTACTCCCACATCTGTCTCTTCTATTTCAATTGCCATCCCTCCCCAGCCCAGTTGTCGTTCGTCTCTTTTAATGCGTATTTCAGTGTGTCTTTCTCTCTACGTAGAATCAATCCCACAGGTTTGGCTGCACTCTGGGATCGTTTTAATTTGACTATTTTATTTTTTTTAGTTTACAACATATTTATTTCATTTTTTTTCTGTAGACTGTAATCATATTTATTTGTACATGTATGTAACTTGTAACCTGTTCTCGAGTAGCATTTAATTCATATGCAACTGTTGCTATTATTATTAGGAACTTCAAGCCATCCAGTAAACCTCAAGTTGTTAATCGACCAACCCCAACCGCCACTCCCACCCCTAGTTGTGAGTTGCTTTTTATTATTATTATTTTACTTCTATACTTACTACACTTTTATTTACTTATTAACTGTCTCAGCTCTCGCTCGTTTCAAGTTGTTGTTGTTGTGAAACACGAGGAGAGGCGAGAGAGTGTCTCCAGTAGTTACAAGTTGGGTTTATTGCACTATTACGTTTTTTTTTCTGTAGTGAATTCTTTTTTTTGTTTGTTTTGTTGTCTGTTAGTATTTTTGCAAAATTTAGTTATTATCTCGCTACGATATATTTCTTAATAATCGCCCCCCCTTTGTCTGGAATAGCTGCTAGCAATACGTTTAACACTTCCGGCACCTTTGCGACGTCCACGACGCCCGGTATTCGGTCTGCGCTGAACAACAAAAGTAATTATACCATTTCCTACATATTCCACGTAGACTCTCGGCGTTCAACAACCGAAGCGATAATACCTAACCAACGAACTACTGGACGTATATTGTATTGCTTTATACGAATTAGCTTACAATCATTTCAGAAGCTTACAATCTCGTATGGAGCGATACATTATGTATTGGCTTTTGAGCGTTTTCGTAATACTAATCTATCGGAAAGGGCAGTAAATTTTATAGTTGGATGAACCAAACCAAATTCGATAAGGAAAAGTAAACTTTCGAGCTCGGTTCGGATTCGTCGCCGCTGCGCCCATCACCTTGGTTACTAATTGTTTATTTTCCATAGCAACACCTGCTCCAGCGGTTGTGCCGCAGAAGCAGCACGAACCTCTGTTCATTTCGGTGCCGCCGAGGCCTCAACGCGCCCTTCACTCCGAAGCTTACATCAAGTACGTGCGCGCTCACTTTGATCATTTCATTCAAGATAATTCTAATCGTCTGCTTCTAAACAGGTACATTGAAGGTCTTCATGCAGATAACAAGTACATAAGCCCATGGGAGAAGACGCTGAACGCGTCGCAGGAGAACGCCGTACCGGACATGGAGAAGATCAACAACGCGTCCACGTGGCTCGGCACCAAAGCCAACCAGCAGGACAACGTGCTGAACGCCCTCTGGGCCCTCAGAAATCAGCTGCTCAGAGATACGCTCGGTCTGCAGAAGACCTTGTAATCATCGATTCGACAAATTATTATTTTTTTAAATATATATCCTTTTATATATATATATATTAATTTTAGTTTATAAAATATATTTTATTTTACTATTTATCTCTATGGATAACATTAATAGATCCTCGATGCTTCACTTCTCACACAGACACACCCTACGGTTGCATAGATTACAGCGAGCAAGAAGAAGCACAGCACGCTGTAATCTATGCGACAACATTATTAGTGACTGATGAGATCTGAAGCAACGGGCTTAATCAGTTGTCTGTCTCATCGACGAATGCTTTAAATATTGATTAATCCACTGTTAAGTGTGATCATACTCTTCTAATATATTGTTGATACAGTAGGAGACAGCATTTCCACCCCCATTTCGTTTTAAGAGATTTTCCATGAAAATTAAAGCAAATTAATTGATATTCAAATGATGTAATAAATGAAATCTGGACATTTTTCTAGTTTTTGAACAAAAACTATTCATTAATAAAAAAAAATATATAAAACAAAGAAAAGTTATTTTTATTTCATCAATACCAAAATTGCTCTACTCTCCTATTGTGCAGTGGCGCGTTACCGAATAGGCGAGCGCTTAGGGCCTCCAAATCGCCAAAAGAAACGTAATGATTTTCTTAGTAGGGTCAATATGGGGCAGCCAAATATTGCGTAAGATGGGCAACTTCCTTGTGCAACTTTTTATGAAACAAAATTTACTTAATGTTCGTTACGTAATAGAGAAACAACGTTTTTTCCCTATTTTTTTCAGTTTTTCGTGAATATCACGACAACCCCTCTAGATAATTACATCATTGACCACTCGTATGAAAGCTGAATGTCTCACCTTTTCAATGAGCCTACTGACATCTTCGTACTGCTGCCGAGTCGCCTGCTATGAGCCGTAGAAATTGGAAAAAAAGTGAATTGAATTTGAACAAAAACTAGATTTTTGTAAATAACTCGAAAAGTAACAAACTTTTTTATGATTTTATTGCATACTCAGATGCACGCAAGTATTGCGCAACTTTTTATGTAACAAAAGTTACGTAATGTTCGTTACGTAATAGAGAAACGACGTTTTTCCCATTTTTTTTTCAGTTTTTCGTGAATATCTCAACAACCCCTCTAGATAATTACATCATCGAGCACTCGTATGAAAGCTGAATGTCTCACCTTTCCAACGAGCCTACCGGTATCTTCGTACTGCTGCCGAGTTGCCTGCTATGAGCTGTAGAAATTGGAAAAAAAGTGAATTGAATTTGCACAAAAACTAGTTTTTTGTAAATAACTCGAAAAGTAACAAACTTTTTTATGATTTTATTGCATAATCAGATGCACGCAAGTATTGCGCAACTTTTTATATAACAAAAGTTACGTAATGTTTGTTACGTAACAAAGAAACGACGTTTTTTCTCTATTTTTTTCAGTTTTTCGTGAATATCTCGACAACCCCTCTAGATAATTACATCATTGACAACTCGTATGAAAGCTGAATGTCTCACCTTTCCAACGAGCCTACTGGTATCTTCGAGTCGTCTGCTATGAGCTTTACAAATTGGAAAAAAAGTGAATAGAAATTGTCAAAAAACGGATGTAATTCAGTTTTTCGATAATAACTCGAAAAGTAATAAACTTTTTTATGATTTTATTGAATAATCAGATGCTCGCAAGTATTGCGCAACTTTTTATGTAACAAAAGTTACGTAATGTTCGTTACGTAATAGAGAAACGACGTTTTTTCCCATTTTTCGTGAATATCTCGACAACCCCTCTAGATAATTACATCATTGACAACTTGTATGAAAGCTAAATATCAGACCTTTCCAACGAGCCTACTGACATTTTCGTGCTGAC